CTCCCTGGAAGCTGCAATCGGGCTGCCTTCGACCCTTCGGTGGTGACCGGGGGCAGGGATTGCTCTGAAGGAATGTCCCCGAGGCGGCTCCTCCCGGCTTTTGCCAGCCTTTTTGTTGTTCCGGGGAGCTTTTTGTTACGGGCTTTTCCCCCCCTTTTTTTTCCCCTGCCGTTTTCACGACGTTGTCTCTTTTCATCCCTCTCCCGTGTCTCCAGCGGGGGATAATGGGATGGATTGATGGATTTAGGGCCTGCCAAGGGCCACCTTTTCCCCGGGGGGAATAACGCCCTGCCTTCCCTGCTCTGCCAGCTCTGGGAGCCGACTGAGCTCCTTTGGCCGTTCCCATTTCCAATCCCGACACGTCCCTGGCCTTTTGTGGCTCCCTCTTTGTGAGCAGGGGAGGGGAGAGGTCCCTGTGCCCTGGGCGGGGGGGGGTTTGTTGGGCTGGGCTTTGGTGATCAGGGGGTTTGTTGGGCTGGGCGTTGGTGATCCTGGCCTGGCTGTGCCGGCACTCGAGCCCCTCATTGTCCGGGCCCGGATCCTGCTCCTGGTGCTGATGCTCCTGGTGCTGAGCTGGGAAAAGGAGCAGCCACGTTCCCTCCCTCCCGTTCCGGGGGGCTCCGGGGTGGGCTGTGCCCCCTCAGGGTGGGGGACAGTGCCGGGAGGGAGGGAAGGGAGGCAGGAAGGAAGGAGGGAACGTTCTGCGCCCCCCAAACCCCCCTCTGGACGCGCTTCCCGGCGCCCTCCCGTTATCCCTGCGGGAAGAGCTCCGGCTCGTCCCAGGCCGCTCTGGGTGTCCCCCAGCCCCCGGAATGGCAGGATGGGGGTTCCCCTCGGCGGTCCCCCCTGTTGAGGCCCGAGGGTTGGCCTTGGAGCCGTGTTTGCAGGGAAGAGGCCTGGAGAGGAGCTCCCAACTCCGCCGATTGGCTGCTCTGTTACTACCCGGAAACTGGGCCCGGGGCGGGGCGAGCGGGAGCTCCTGGGGTGCCCCAGCTGGGCTGTTTTCACCCCAAATCCTTCCCCAAACCCCTCCCAACCCTTCCCCACAGCAGGCAGAGCTCGCTGTTCCTGCTCCCTTCCCCTGGGCCGGGCAGTGACCTCGGGGCCGGGTGTCCTTTCCCTGTTGCCATGGGTGAATTCTGTGCTCCCTGTGCTCTGTTTCTAAGCTGGGGGACAGAGGGAGGTTGTCACCCTGCTTTGTGCCTGAAGGGGACTGTGAGGGGTGCCCAGCTGTCTGTGAGTGACCCCCGTGCTGCCCAGGGCCCCCCCTGTGTGGCACACGCCCCTCTCTCGCCCTTGCTAATTTTAGGCTCAAGGAGAATAAAGGTCCAAAGCTCCGGGTTTGGTTTTGTAATCGCCGACCCGCCCCCCCCCGCGGGCAGGCAGAGGGCAGGGCAGAGTTTACCTGAGGGGTAAATGGCTCTGTGTGCCCGCTCTGGGCTCGCAGCTCCCTCCCCATCCCACCTGAACCCCTGCCAGGGCCAGTTGAGCAACGGCGGGGGGGTCAGGGAGCCCTGCTCTCCCTGGCCCGTCCCCGGGGGGGGCACTGGCAGGGCTCGTTTTGGGAGGGGTTGGTTGTGCTGGGGGTTTTTAGCAAAGTCAGGCCTTTCTGGGCAGCTTTGCCAGGGATCAGAGTGCGGGATTTTGGGATTCCTCCTGCCCTGTGTCACCCCCGGGGGTGGGGGGAGACGGGTGGGGACGCTTCAGAATGCACAGGGATGTGGCAAATGCCCCTTTCCAGCACTGGGAGAGCCCTCCTCTCTTCCCAGAGCCATCAGAAATGCTGGCACAGGGCAGGGCTTGATCCATAAATCCAGGTAAATGTGGCTCAGGGGGGTGCCTGTTGTTGGGGGAACTTGAAATCCACAAATCTCTGCCCAGCCCGAGCACACTGGACCAAAAAACGAGCTCTGTGCCTAAATGGCAACTTCCAAGGGGATCCCTGCTGCTTGCCGGGTGGAATTCCGTGTCTTTGCTGGTGGCTGGGTGGGTTTTATCCCCAAAAAACCGGCTGGGATTCTGAGTTTC